CCACCATCCTGAAAAGGGGAAGGGTAGGGAGGTGGAAACTGGGCTTAGGCAGAACAGTGGCAACAATCTGAGGAGGAAACTTCATTTGCTAAATACGATATCGAAATGCAAGATAATACTGTATAATATAATGTAATTGGAATTGAGGCTAATAAATAAAATGAGAGAGCATGTCCAAAACTGAAGGCCTGACTCTGAATTGAAGGCGAAATGGCTGGGGAGCACACCCGCGCATTGCCAGGCAGCAAGAGAGCGAGTCTGATGTCTTGCCAGGTTTACCTTTCCCCTCTGAATGCAAAATCCTGTGGGGTATGTAATTATTTTCTTCTGAGATCCAGGTGGAAAACCAGTGGTTCATGGCAGTGGGGCATTAATTCTTTAACTCCCAGTGCTTTACATGATGTTGTGGTATATATATATGGTATATATTGGAATAACAATAACAAAAATCATAAAACCATGACAACCAGCCAGTGTGAGCACTTTTTCAATACCTTCTAAGTTGCTTAGAGAGGGAAAGTGCCAGGGTGATCACAGGGGAAAGCAAGATAGGCAGGTACCAAGTTTCAACTTGTAAATCCACCCTTTGTGCATGCCCATTAATTCTGCTGATTCCCTTCTTCTGTCATCATGGGGTAGATGTGCTTTCATTGGGATACCTCCATATTTGTTATCCCATCTAAGTGCCCCTTGAAATTTTTAGACCAGTTACATTTGTGGAAAAGGAGGACATGGCATCAAATAAATGGAGAGTTCAAATTTGATTGAGGCACTGTGTGAATGGCTGTGTTTTTCAAGAGTTCTACAGTGCTGGCTTTTAGGTTATTTCTGACAGTGTATAACGTAAATATGGAACCTGCCAGATGCCTAAACTTATTTAGGTGATGAAAGAAATAGTGAGTTCTTAGCAAAATCAGGAACTGAAAGATCTCGAAGAGATGAATTTGCCATCTTTGAAAATTCCAGTAATTTTTGATTTTCTCTGGTTCTAGTCTGCTAAGTTAAAAATCACTTTGATATATTCCTGTGTTTTATTAACCATGATTCAGGATACAAGTTCTGACTTTCTAAATCTTGCACTGGACCTCAATTGAACGTGTTGGTATTTGATAGATACAGCATATGAGGTAATTCATCCAATGAACTGATTGTTCCATTGGGCTTAGTCTCAATTTTGCTTACTCTTTACTTTGGAAAAAAAAAAAAATTCTTTTTATATATTGTGAAATTGGAAAACTTATTGGGTCTCACTTAGTTTCCTCCTTGAACTGCTCTAAGAACAAGTTGTAGAACAGAATGATACGCTGCTTAAAGCTTTTGATTTCCAAGGCATGATTCCTCTTTAAAAGCTGTACTGAGTCCATATATTAAATTCATAACATCTCATAACATTACAAAACAGGGGAGAGAAGAGTGCTGTTAAGAGAAGATTAAAGATTTAACATGGGTATGAATTTCCCATCATAATGTCTAGCTGTTAGTGATAGAGATTTCAGGCCTTTGTGGCGTTTACATGTTATGAACCATAAGACAAATAAATACCTTCTGCAAAGGACAGTGAAGATGTACATGTGTCACTTTCATATGTCTTTCTAACCTCTTTGATGATAAATGAAAGAGGTGGGAGCTGGAGACAATTTAGAGACTCAGAAAGTGAAAATAGACTCGTAGTACCATTGAACCTTGCCTATTGCAGATCTTCTTACTGAAGAAATAACATGAACACAAATGTTTCTTTCTAGTGGGAAAGAATTTATAGTGTAGGAAGGAAGGTTTTATGTGTATGTCCTAGAATGGTTTGCGTTAGCTTAAAACCTATTGCTAGTCATGATCAAAGTATGAGATATTTGTGTTATAATCCTGCAGGTGTTTTATAAAGAAATTGAATTCCTTATGTAACTTGAAAGAATGATAAATGCAATAATGTATCTTTTTATTCCTCAAGTTCCTTTCACTGCAAAGAGCTTATAAATGACACAGCAGGAATGACTCCTCTTGCAAGGCAGGAGTGCCTGCCTGTTGGAAATATGTTTGAAATATGTCAGTTGTAGTGGTGCACAGCAGTAGAACTCAGTATTTTTTAGCTTCAGCAAGAGAAACCAACTATACAGCTGAAAGTGCCAGAAAGAACTAGAGAGACAAAATGATTTTTCCCAACAGAATATACAAGAGCAATTTGGCTACCGTACTCTTCTAAGGTGATTTTCTTAAAATGCTTAATAGCAAAAACTTATAAACCATAAATCTAGCTACGTAACTTGGAAGGAAAGTAGTATTTTGAACACTTTCCCAAGAAAATCTGCACATTATCAGGTCCTGAGCTGTTTCAATAGGAATTAAAGATGAAGAAAGAATGATTAAATGACATGTCTGTGGAATTCTGCTTTGCCATTATGTGTTGCCAATGCTCTGCCTCTGCTGGTAGGTTTATACTGGAGAGTAGGAAACAGAACAGGTCACACTTCTGCTAGCAGGGTTGCTTTTCTGTACTGGAGCGTTTTCCGTTCTTATTCTCTATGTGCTACCTGCACATTCCATGTGCCCATTAGAAAGTGGATTAAGAGACTATGTCAAGCCCAGCTCCAAACAGATAATAAAAACAATACTCGGAATAAAATGCAGTCAGGGGAATTAGCAGGTTTTGTCAGAATGTTGCAAGTTCAAGGAGAAAATATAAGTCAGTATGCATTAGTTAATTAACTGTGTAGTGTGACTTATGGGATATATCCAGCATTATGCAAAAGCTCAATTTGCAACTTTGCTTTATAAATAATTCTAGAATGTTGAAAGTGTTACCAAAGGAAAGATAATAAAAATGGGCTTGAACTCTGATGGCGCTGGTGTTTTAGAACCGACTCTGTTGCTACAGTTTGTCTTCCTTTCCTCGTTAATTAGCACTAAAGGGCATGTGCGTGGTAATAGTCTTCATTTTATAAGCCTTCCTGTGCTTCTGTCACTTTTGCTCCTTAATCCAAAATCCTAATTCCCTGTGACATCCCTGTTAGTTGCTCTGAACAAAATTCTGTTGCTGCAGATGGGGGATTATGGCACCAACCAAGGACTGTAAGCAGCAGGAATAGCTGAACTCTCTGAGACAAAGATGCTTTTGCCATGCAAATAGCCTGTAGTACTGAGAAGTGAGGCAAAGCATAATACTGATCTGTGCTGTGCCGTCACAACAGCAGATCTGACTTCAAGCTTTCTTTATTGTTAGCCTTCCAAAATTCCTCATCAAATGGTGCTTATGGATGGTATTTTTTCCTCTTGCTCTTTTAAAAGCAGCTTCATCTTCACAATTGCTTTCTGTAAAATGCGATACAGAAACTGTGGGCATAATTCATGTGCTTCGGCTTTCTGGTCTGACAGCACCTCCAGCCACAGTTACTAAGGCTTCATGCAAGCTTACTCTGTGATTTCTAGTATTTCTCTTGCGGCACCTGGATCGGGGAGATATCTCCAGTCTGATTATGCCCATTATCAACTGCAGTTACTGATTAAAGTGTTTTCAGATAAGTGCAGGAAAAGAGAAGAAAAATTATCATTGAAAATGCTCTTCTGCTCTTCTTCAATGAGTTCTTATCCTCAGAAAACTCAAATCTTAAGCAAAATGGTAACTAATATTTCAGATTCTTATATTTCATCCTTTTTCTTGAATCTGAATAAGTTTAAAGTTTACATTAGGAAGTATTACTTTTCAGAAAGGATGGTCAGGCACTGGAATGGACTGCCCAGGGAGGTGGTGGAGTCACTGACCCTGGGGGTGTTCAGGGAAAGACTGGATGTTGTATTGAGGGACATGGTTTAGTGGGAGCTATTGGTAATAGGTGAACGGTTGGACTGGATGATCTTCTAGGTCTTTTCCAACCTTGGTGATTCTATGATTCTATAAAGTGAGCGTCAGACCCCAGTCTGATGTGTATCTGTGTGTCTGGTTGTATCTGTGACTTTTATAAGTCTAAAGGCAAGGGAGAAGTGAGTACATGCATGTATCTGCCAGCCTGTGCCTTACAGTCTGTCAGCACTGTTGTAACCCTAGAGGTGATCTGTTCCCCTCATTCTGTGCCAGTGAGACTACTGGGGTTCATACAGCTGCAGATGACTTGGGTGGGAAAAATAGGTGTGTGGAGGGGAGAAGTATTGAATAATTCTGCACAATTTTCTTCAGGCATGGTAACAAGCTATTACTGTGTCTACTGCTGTGTCTTTTCAATAGGTGGATCTTTTTTTCTCAGGGGTTTTGTTGCCTGCTCTTGTTACTCTTGTTATCTGCACTTTTCTACTTAGGAATTCCTCTTTTTATTTTTTATTTATTTTTTTTTTTTTAACAGTATAACATATAGTGGAATAGTGCAGCTTCAAGAGCTGGCTATCTACTTGTGGATGACAAATTGTCATTCAGAGTCCCTCTGATATGAAGAACACACTTTTTGCTGTTATCTTGGTTGTGCCTTTGCAATTTTATCTGAGTTAAGATATCAAGGGTTAGCTCCACATCAGACACAATGGAAGACTGTTCTGTTAGTGATGGCTGCATCTCCCAAAGGCTATGATGGAAAGGTGTCCAATATAGAAACAGAAGTCTCATGGAGTTGGTTGGTTTTGTTTTATAACATTACATTTCCCGAGGAACATACAGAATAATTCTTTGGATAGGATAAGGCATTGTTCAGTTACCCTTGCACATTATCATATTTCCATTATATATTGCTTTGTGTGAGCACAGAACATACAAAGTTAGGCCTGCCTAACGGGGAATATGTTGCTGTTCACTTTTCTTCCTTCTTGTGTGTTACAGTTTGCTGTTTTGTTGTGCAGTGTGCAATTGTCTGTGTGCTCTTTTACTAATGTTTGTTATGTGTTTAAGAATGGAAAACTGTTTCATTAGTACTTTTTATGTACTGCATGAGAATGGTGGTGGTAGTGATGGATTGAAATTATGGGCCTCACTAAACTTATTTTCTCAACTTTGTTTCACTCTGTTCTTGTCATCCCTTCTTCAGGACCAAGCACTACCTGCCAGGAAGATTCCTGTGCAAATCAGGGTATCTGTAATCAGCAGTGGGAAGGCTTCACCTGTGATTGCTCCATGACTTCATATTCTGGGAGCCAGTGTAATGACCGTAAGTCATTTTTTTTCCATTGGATTACAGAGAACAGCGAGTCCTGATAGATTAGAGCATAGAGAATACACAATTAGTTTTACTTACAGTGGAAATAAAGCCTTTCCAATGGTAAATCCAAATTTTATTTCTTGATAGGTTTCTTGAAGCATGCAGCAAGTTATTTTTTCCCTGCTAAAATGAAAATGTGGAAGTATATACTTTATGTGTGTGTTTTGGAGGTGGTTGTTTTTTGCCTTTGACATCCAGATCAGTGATGGTAATTGATGTTAATTGAATTCTTAGTTTAGAGAAACAAAGAATGGCTTGTGTGTACTATGTATACTATTAACATAGGTACAAAATATCTATATCTTGTATATTGAGTTATGCTTTGTTTTCATTCAAGCTTTTCTGGCAGAGAAATGACATTGGTGTCAAACTGCTTTGCACTGTTCTGGATTTTCTATATGTAAAGATGAATGTTTAGGAATTGGTTGCTAGAAACTTCCTTTTATTCTTCCCAAAACATTGGATGTTATGTTATTGGCCAATGACTTCTAAGATAAACTTGCTGAAACAGTTAAACAAAACCCTGTAGCCCTCTTTTAGCCCTCAAATGTTTGTCTGTTCATCCTGATAGGACATTTGCTTCTGGAAGCAGGAAGCAGATCACTTAAGCTCTGTTTTCTCTCCACTTCTGTTAAGCAGATAGCTAGATCCCATTTCCTTCCCTGCTCCAAAGCATGGAACAAAGAAGCACGTGCTATCGGTGCTGTAATGAGCATAATTGTAATAATCAATAATTTGGCTTATTGTATGCAGAAACTTTAAGGCTGGAAAAATCTGACCACCTGCATTTCATAAACTGCTGCATTTAATTATGTGTATTTATGAGATAATTCATTAGAAATAACAGTAAGGTGTGTGATATTAGTGCAGTGTCATACCTGTATCCCTCCTCCTGGGAGATTGAGATATGGCTGAATTGATGACAAAAATGACAAACTGCTTAACAAATGTTCACAGTCTGTTCCTGCTGAAGGCCGGAAAGCCTGCATTTCTGTGAGTCTTTCATCAATTGGAATGTTACCTGAATTGCTCTCCCCTTTCTGCAAGTATAGTTGTCTCAAGCGAGTATTGAAAAGGCTGCTCTGTGCTGCAGCACTGGCTGTATAAGAAGGGTACTACAGACACAGGTCTAGAGGCTCCAGTGTCAGATCTGTTTTTGGATTGATTTGGAATCTGGAATGACTCAGTTTGGTCTAACTGAAACAGTATCAAAGCAACAGGATGTGACACTGATTTTCTGCATTTTTGTTTTAATTGCTTTTTGGGGGGTGGAGGGAGAGGGGAATAAGAGGTATGTGAGGGGATCTGGAAACCCTGTTGGACATCCAGGTCTCCGTTCCCAAACCTCTCTTGTTCAGAGGGTTCAGTTTAGTCTTGCTAAGCATAACACTTTATAAAGCAATGGTATAAAACAAGTAAGTGCTTCTCTGGAATGTATTGGACTGCATTTAAGTATGTGACATGGAAATCTCTGAAGACAGAAACTGCAGTTTTGTTTCTAATGTGTTGGACTTCACAGCTCCAGAATGCTCTGGTGCCTTTGTTAGGCTGCTGTTAATGACTTAAAGCAGGCTCTCAGATGTCAGAAAGCCAGGTTCCTGTGGCTGTAATTGGAGATTCCTTGTTGCTTTTTAGAGCAGATGGTTAGAAACCATGCAGATCAGAGGTGGTAGTTCGATTGGAGAGGAGGTGACTTGAGCAAGATAGTAGTCGGCTTCCTAGTATCTGGGCTGTCTAGTGATTTAGAAATGCTGACAGGAGGTTGTGGGTTTTAAAATGGTCTGGAAAGGTAAGTCACGTGGATTCCTGAAACACAATGGGACTTCAACCAGGATCATCAAAACGTGCGTATAACCTTTTTTGTGGGTTTTTTTTTTTTTTTTTTCAGTCTTTGTTTTGTATCAGGACGTTAAAGAAAAAGTTCTGTTTTTGGTTGCCTGCTTGTTATGAAGTATTATGGATTGTGAGGAGAGAGAAGTTTTACTTTTTGTTCTCATCTGTTAGGTACAGTTTTTATGATACATGCAGGTATTTGTGTGTTAATTGAGTTATGTGTTCTTTAGACTGGATTCATTGCAAGTGATGTCAAGTGTAGATTACTTCTGTGTAATCTGAAACAAGCAAATCAAAGAGTTCCAAAGTGTTGCAGTCTGTGCTAATGTGCAACTTTGAGCAGATGAGGTACCAGAATTGGAAGTTAGCCCATTGTATTAATGAAATGCTTTCAAGTGAGGGAGTTTCATCCTATCTACTTACTTAATAGCAAGTTCCTTAGCATGATCTCAGATGAAATAGTATTTGTTACAGACTCCAGATAACCTGAGATGTCCAACTTTAGAGATTCCTGATCTTTTTCTTGTTCTTATGTGTTTAATCAGACATGGTTAACATATAGATAACACATATAAAAAGGAAGGAAAAAAAAAAAACAAAAACAAAAAAAGACTTTGGAGATCTAGCTACTGGAAATGGTTATATGCATGTCCAACTAGATTATTAAAAGAATACTTGTTACTTGATGCCTCCTGCAGAGGGTAACACTGGGGGGATCAAGCTTACCAGGCTAACACAAGTATGTATTAATGGAGGCTGCTTGTCTGTAAAAGATCAATAGCCTGCAGCAATGACGAGTGCAAGGAGAGTATAAAGCACTTCTTCAAACAGCTTCTTTTTGTTGAAACAGTTAAGTTCATCTGCTGACTATTGATTTGGTCTTTGGAGTGGGTGGGTGCACTATTTGTTTGCTAATTCTGGGTTGTAATATCTACTTGATTTAAAAACAAGTCTACAGTTCATTTGGTAAAAAAGCAAAGGCAGCGATGTTTGTCTTTTTGCATGTATATCTTTTGCTTCCCCTCTGCATAGCTGTTGATAAACAGAGCCATTTTATATCCTTCTGATTGGATTGTTTGGTTAAGAAGTGCAGAAAGTCTGTTCTTTTTGCACAATTAGTTACATTTTTCTCCTAAGATTCCTTTCTGTGCGATGTGTAGCCTATATACTCCTTTTGTATTTTTGGTGGGTCACGTTTGGAGGAGGAGAGAAAGTCATGGTGACTTTGTTCTTCCTATGTTTAGCACTATCATAGGAAGAACTTATGTGAATTTCAGTTCTGTAATTGCAGTCAGTGAGGCTGAGAATCATTGAACTGCTCAGTTGGAAAAGATCTTAAAGATCATCAAGTCCAACCACAACCTAACTCTAACAACCCACTGCTAAATTATGTCCCTGAGTGAGTATCAAAGATCTTTTTTTTTTTTTTTTACTGGACTTTGAAAGGAAGAATATATTAATAAATTAATAATAATAATAATAATAAAACAGATAAAATCTAGAAGAAATACGTCAGAGAATGCATCAGAGTAAAGCACAAAACATTTCAGAATAAATGAAGAAGAATGAAGCCAGCCTTACTGCCATGTATGTGTTTTGGATGTGGAGCAGGGATGCCAGAGTAACATCCATCCTTCTCATGTCCTTCCCATACTCCACATAAGTGAATGAATATGTGAGTAGATTGATATTGCTAGAGGATGTAGACTGTAGACTACTTTGCCAAAAGGTAGTGGCAGAGCCAGCTTTCCTCATTTCTGCTTAAATAGGATGGCAGAATAGTCATTTAGAGGAGACTGCTTATAATAGGGAGAATAGTTAAATTATTAACTGTTTTTTTATAATGATAACTTTATTCTGACATCCATGCAAACCATTTGTGCTCTGCTCTTATGTTGTTTGTTCCACTGAGCAATTATAGTTATTTCTGCAGAGAAATTCAGATCCCTATTTGGGAGACAGTCTTCCCTCTCATCAATATTTTGGTTTTGCTGCCATCTGGGCCAATTTTTGTCCAGACTTTGACAATGCTTCATAGCATTGTATGCTGCCAGCATGCTCAGCTTAATTTACTTACAGAAACCCTTTTCATTGTTTGTGTTTGATTACCATGCAATGATTTCTAATGTGCCTAGCTTATCGCTTATTGAGTCAGAGAGCAAGAGGTTGCTAGTGTGTAGGAAATAAATCTGTATAGACTTCCTTAGTCATGCGCAGCTAAACCAGTCAGCTGTTTAAATATCAGCACACTGAGGGATTTGCCTTTGATGCTTCAGGGACAGGCACCCTATATTAAGCAAGAGTCACCTCTGATTTATCTTGAGTGAATCATACTTCTTACAGCAGGTCAGGCACCCTGTCTAATTTTTGCTTGCTGCCTCATGATTTGCCCTCACTTACTCTGTGCTCTTTTAGGTGCCCTCTACTATAACTTGCATTTTCTGGGCGATGGCTCATTTGAGTCCCTACCTTAAGCCTTTGGGGTCTTCTGTCTCTGAATGAACTTACCCTCCCTTCCTTCAAAGAGGAGGGAAATGCAACTGCAGACTTCATTACATAATGCAAATTGTACTATTGTGGTTTGGATTGTGAACCCTACTTTTACAATTTATACTGCTGTTTATTTTCATTTGCACTGCAACTCCAAGATTTGTAGCATGTTTAGAGCATTGACCTATCTCTACTTTTTATTTGAGAGCCCTGGACGTTTCTGTTGCTTGGTAATAACCTGTTACGTAGTTGCTTTAACATTTGGGTAGCTTATGAATTGCCTGTTGCTTGTCTTTTTACTGAAAGGCATTTCCCCTCCCTTGAACAATAGCTGTGAGGATGAAATCAGATTGCCATTCAAGAGCTTGCTTGCTCCAGGTGCCCTCTGGGAGTCATTTAGGACGGATACTGTTAAAATCAGGGAGGAATTTGGGTGTTCCTGTGCTGGGTGAGAAAGAGGGAGTTAGAGTGACAGATGCTTTTAGAAACCACTGCTTCTGCACTTTTCAACACCTCTTCAAGGTGCCCTGACAGAAAACTGTTTCTTTTTCTTTTTTTTTTTTTTTTTCCAAATGTGAAAGCTAGCCAACTTTATCCTTTTGTGATCCCCAAATTGCAGCTAGGTC